CAGAATGTGCCTCAGACTGAGCTACGTGCATTGTAGTGTGAGTGCGTTCTCGTTATATACACGATCCCTTTCCTTTATATCGCTACCCTTGTCTTCAGGTATGCTGCTGCATTGAATGTACAGGATATGGGAGGTTCCAAAGATTTTGTGCTAAAGCCTGACAGACATTAATCCAGACCACAAAATTCCAATAAAGCTATATCACTTTGTGCACTGGAACCACTCCATAGTAGAACAGCCATCTTCGTCATGTGGCCCTAGGTAGATTAAAAAGCCACATTCTCTTGGGAGGCAGGATGTAAAATTGCACAAATAAGAGTTTTTCCACCAGAATCTATTTTCCTCACCGGTGGAGCCTTTGGGCTTTTAGAACCTTCTTGGCTTACATTATCTACTAAAAATATATAGTCTCTATGAGAAACGTCAACTGAGGAACATCGTATACAATAGAAATCAGTATAGTAATAAGGCCTCAATCCTGAGAAAGTTTTAAATAATCACAGGCAAACTGACTCTTAATACAAGCAACCAAAAGACAAGTCACGTTCAGGACCTAGAGAAATCAGGAGTAGGCAAGCAAGTTGGGTCAGCACAGAACAGAAAACTGCAAGACAGTCTTATGACAGGATTCCTGGAAATGGTACATGTACAGGAAAACGCACAAGGACAGTCCCAAGACAAGAACTACCATGAAAATGATTAACTATCTTCAGAAGCAGGAATTCAAAAATTTTCTCGAGAACAAAGATACATTAAAAGCTACCATTTACAGTACCAACAGCTTTCTTTAGGTTTGCATTAATAACATACAGATATTTTGATCAATTAAAAAAATAAAACAAAGATAAGATAGCTCATTTGGTTAATGTGTCCATTGTGATGTGTAATGCCAGCTGGATTTACCTTCCTGGTGGCTTCAGCAGGATTTGAACCCTGCTCTTTTGCCACTGTGCAATCCAGCCATTCATAGTATTGCCTTATAGGTGCCCTTGCCTTGGTTCCAGCACTGGGAGCTGAACTTGTGTGGCTGCTATGGCACACCTGTATCCCATATTGATTGGCTGGATATAAATGCCTGCCTCACCCTGGGAAGGGTGTCAGTTCATTGACTCTGGTTGCTGTCTCTCTGTATCAGCGTTCCAGTATTTCCTGTCTGATTCCGGCTTCTGACCTTGGCTTTCCTCCTGGACTACTCTGATCTTTGGCTTTCCTTGACTACGCTTCTGCTAATCACTGCTGTACTGCTACTTGGAGCACTATTCCTGGAAAGCCCCCGTGCACAGACTCACAGGTCAGGTGGCGTCTTACCTGGTCACCCTGGTCTGTGTCTACTTTGCAAGGGTGAGCGTATAACTCTGCGAGCTGGACTCCCCATCAGGTAAGATTCCTGACACCTATCCCACTATTCAATCTGGTCCACTCAGCCCCCTCTGAAAAGCCTTTTCCAATGAACACGTCAGAGGCCGGAATAGTGGAAGTATAGGATCACGTGTTTATTTTTTGGGGGGCAGGCTTAGCATACACCGTTCTTTGTCTATTCTCATAACAGTAAGCACAAACCAAGAACGTTATGGTGGGGAAAAATTGTGATTGAAAACCCCTTCCACCTGAAGTCAGTGAATAGTCAATACAATGTTAAACTAAGATCTGCACACCAGTCATGCCTTATGGTTTCTGTGGGAAAAGCAAGTCTTCTGTGGTGTGCAAATCTTGGTTTAGCATTGTATTGACCATATACTAACAGGAAAGTAGACTCTTCTAATTGGGAGAAGGAAAACTCCTCACACACCTGTTGGCGTTGAAAACTTGTTTTGTTACAAAGTAATTCTATTGCTAAGCAATTATACTGCTGAGTGTGGCGGTCTGTCAAAGAATCACCGCCACTGATGCCCTCTTCCAATAGTAACACACCAATAATCCAGGAGGTATATCGCTGGTATCACATAATCCCCCACAACATGAGCCAAGGCTTAATGCTGGGAGAAGACTGGTTTAATGGCAGTACAGACATCAAATTTATACAGTCAGTAAACTCCTCCTCTGTGCCTAGATAAAGCTTGATGATCTCAGCCATAGAGGCAGGGCCAGTCGAGGGGAGAGCAGCATGGCGGGGGGAAAAAAGTGAGTAAAAATACTATTTTTAAAACACACACATACACCATGACAGACACAGACACACACACACACACACCATGACACAGGCAGACACACATACCATGACAGACACACCATGACAGACAGACACACACAACTTGAGACACACACCTTGACACAGACACACACATTACATGACACAGACACACATAGAGTGGTGTATCCTGGTTTTGTGCTGCCCTAGGCAGGACAAAACTCAGGCACCCCCCTACCCCCGCGCGACCCCCACCCAACCCTTCCCCACGCCCCACCTTCTAAATACACACACACAGTCAGACACACACACACACAGTCAGACACATACACACACACACATACACAAACACACACACACAGACACAAACACAGTCAGACACAAACACACACACTCACAAACACACACAGTCAGACACAAACACACACACACAGTCACAAACACACACACCGCCGCAGAGTGAGGTTGGAAGCCGGAATATGACGTCATATTCCAGTCAGCTCAGAGGAAGAGCTCCCTCGCCAGCCGCCCGCCTGCCAGCACCGCCCGCCCGCTCGCTCGGGATGTCAGTTAGCCGCGAGGCTAACTAGGCATTTGCCCTGGGCATTTGGGGGCGGCGTTTTTTGCCGCCCCCTGAAAAATGCCGCCCAAGGCAAATGCCTTGTTTGCCTCGCGGCTAATACGTCCCTGCACACACACACTGTAACGGAACGCCTGGCACCCCAACTGGGTACCTTCCAAAGGCTCCAAGATCTCCACCTGACACCATAACCATTGCAGACCTCACGAACCGCCGCAGCTTGGTTGGGGTCTCGCCGTCTCCACCCACTCTGGACCCAAGACCAGGGTCCAGCTTCCAGTAGGTCGACCTCTCCGAATTCCAGAGAGCAGGAACAAGCTCTTAGCAGAGCTTAGTGATTATATCCTGGGAAGTATAGTGATTATAGCAATCCCCAGAGTGTAGTTCTCCAATCCCCCAAACATGAGCCAAAACTTCATGAAGGTACAAGATGATCTGTTTAATGAGCACCAAAGGACTTTCTTTTATACAAGTTTTCACCCACGTGGACCTTGTTGTACACAGGACTTACAGCAACCAATCAAACACATTACAGTACAGTCAGACACTCCCAGCCAAGGTACACAAACCCTCCCTTCTGCCTGTGATATAAATACTAAACACAATGGGCTAACTTAATTATCACAGGCAGAAAATATACAGTTTTACACAATATTCATAACGTCCAAACTATACATACAATTTCCATAAAAGTTATATCTTTGAACCAGCATAATCAGTATAAAAACATATTCAAAAATCATACAATTTGGTCCAGTGGTTCAAAAGATAGGTGGAAGTCCTATTTGACTGACTGCAAGCATAGCTTTCCTGCCCAAAACAGTTCCATAGATTTAGGCTGTGCAGCCGGTCCATCTTCTCCTCCTGGAGATAATTGGCTTAAGTGGGTGTGGTAACTTAATTATCTCCAGGTACAGGGAATACCTCCATTTACAACAGTAAAAATACATAACTCCTATTATACTGAACAGAACCCTCACATTCAACCTATCCCCAGATAACTTGGATCTGAGCGCTCAATATATCCGAACAGCGCTCAGATCCCACGAACAGAATAAAATCGTAATGGGGTTAAAGTTTAGGAAGGGCTGATGAGAGATTGAGGAGGGACAAAGCAGCCAGTTTAAACTTTAACATTTTTGCGGTGTTTGTGTTTAGCTGTAATTTTCCTATTACTCATTTACTGTACCCACACATATTATTTACTGTTTTTCTCGCCATTAAATGGTCTTTCTAAAGATATCATTATTTTCATCATATCATTCACTATAAAAATGTTTATAAAATTTGATGAAACATGTTTTTAAAAAATCCACACTTTTTCTAACTTTGACCCCCAAAATCTACAACACATCTACAGCAGCCAAAAAACACCCATGCTAAATAGTTTCTAAATTTTGTCCTGAGTTTAGAAATGCCAAATGTTAACATGTTCTTAGCTTTTTTTGGAAAGTTATAGAGAAATAGCACTTTGCTATTTCCAAACCAATTTTTTTCAAAATTGACACAAGTTCCATTTTAACACTGATATCTGTCAGTAATCCCTGAATAACCCTTCACATGTATATATTTTTTAAAAAGAAGACAACCTAAGGTATTAAACTTAGGGTATTTTGACTCTTTTCATGCAACCATTTTACCATCAATCTATGCCAAATTTGAATTTTTTTTTTTAAATAATTGGTGATTGTTTTTACACACATAGCAATTTAAGAATACATGTACAGAGAACTTTAAGGATTACTGCCAAACAATACCCCTATATGTGTTCCGCAACATCTCCTGAGTACAGTGACACCACCCATGTACAGGTGTGTTGGGTTCTCCTGAGGCTCAAAGACCTTATTTGGAGGGTGCGCACACAGCCGGTGCAAGGATTTTTAGGCAAAAGTAAAGTTTGCCGCTCCGCCCCCCCCCCATGTGACATCACAATGCCCCACCCATATGATCTGCCATGTTAACTAACGCCAGTGCTGCAGTGCCGCCGTGTTTACATTAAAAGGCCTGCAGGGACAGGCTATGGACACCAGAACCACTACATTAAGCTGAAGTGGTTCTGGGGACTATAGTGTTTCTTTAAATAAATTAGAGCTTAGTGCCACGAATAATATACTAGATTGCTTCTTACAACCAGATGAGGATGATGATGGGCTCTAGCTGCAGTCTGGCTCCACTGGTCTGGTGTAGAACAGGCTCTTTGGAGGCTGTTTGTAACTGTGGTCACAAAAATCAATGTTCTGGGAGAACAGGAAGCAGCTCCAATTTTTAAGGCCCTTTACACAGCTCAAGGTCTGGGTCCCAGGGTCCACCTTCATGTTCCACCAATGAGTTTGTTCACAGGGGGTGGTGTAGGGGATGTCCTGATATGTGTGTAAGGAATGCATTGTGTGAATCTGTGTTTGTATGTGTAAGGGCTGCAAGGTGTGTTTCTGTGTATGTACAGGATACAGTGTGTGCGTTTGTAAGGGGTGCATTGAGTGTGTGTAAGGGGTGCATTGAGTGTGTGTAAGGAATGCATTGTGTGTTTCTGTGTGTGTAAGGGATGCATTGTGTGTAAGGGTTGCATTGCTTGTGTGTGTGTCTGTGTGTGTAATGCATTGTGTGTTTTTCTGTGTGCAAGGGGTGTGTAAGGGGTGCATTGTCTGTGTGTGTAAGGGGTGCATTGTGTGTGTGTGTGTGTGTGATGCATGTCAATCTCTTCACTCTCTTCTCCCCCCCTTGTCCCTCTCTTCTCCCCCCTCCCTTGTCACTCTCTTGTCCCCTGCATTGTCTGTGTGTGTAAGGGGTGCATTGTGTGTGTGTGTGTGTGTGATGCATGTCAATCTCTTCACTCTCTTCTCCCCCCCTTGTCCCTCTCTTCTCCCCCCTCCCTTGTCACTCTCTTGTCCCCTGCTTGTCCCTCTCTTCTCCCCCCTCCTTTGTCACTCTCTTCTCCCCTCCCCACTCTCATTCCCCCTTCCTCCCTCCCTCGTCCATTCCCCTCACTGTCAATTTCTTCCCACCCACCCTGTGAATTTATTCCCCCCTTCAATTTATTCCCCCCTGTCAATTTATTCCCCACCCTCCCTTTCAATTTATTCCCCCCACTCTCCATGTCAATTTATTTCCCCCCCTTCCCTACCATTGTTGTAGAGTGGCCGAGCCCTCTATTGGTCCACGGGTACAGGTAGCTTTTGTTTCCTGTACCCGGCCGGACTAACAGGACCGTTTTTTGTCGGACGTACCAGATACGTCCGAGGCCACTAAGGGGTTAATGAAACAGATTGCCAGGTGATAATGGGAGTTGTAGTTCAAAACATCTTGGGGATTGTGCAGTCCTGATCTATAAACTACGACTGTGTCATTAAGCTAAACTTGTTTTGGTGACTATAGTGTCCCTTTAAGGCTCTTACATGATATGCCTACAACTGCACCTTTGCAACATTGAATATCAAAACTAAGAGATAAAATGAAGCTCTATATTACAGAAAAAATATGCAAAATATAAAAAAAACAGCAATACTACTAATAAAAATAATTTAAAACATTTCCCTCATAAAAATAGCTGACTATTTGTCAGTAACTCAGTTTTGTCTACATACTACAGTACAAACACTGATCATGTTTAGGAGAGATATTGCAGAATAGATAGCAGCAAGGTGTGTATAGCAGTGCTACGAGCACTTGGATTGACTTGCAAGCTCTCCCACGCTATTATATCTAGTAATACCTGGGAACGTCTGCATTCACCAGTCCCTTTCCTGCTGTAATGGAAACTCTGAAGGTGGAGTTATATTCTGCAGGTTTTCACAGCAAAAAGTAGATAACATATAGCATACATATTAAGCAGGGAGAATTTTAATATCCTTTTATACAATTGACCATGTGTTTGCAGTATTTCTTAAAGGGACACTATAGTCACTCACCAGAACAGCTACAGCTTAATGTAGTTGTTCTTATGAGTATAATAGCTCCCTTCAGGCATTTTCATGTAAACACTGCCTTTTCAAAGAAAAGGCAGTGTTTACATTGCCCCTAAGGACACCTCCAAGTGGCCACTCCTTAGATGACCACTGGAGGAGCTTCCTGGCTCAGGGCTGCACAGTAGGCAGCTCTGCCGTTCAGCATCCCCACGCTCTGCATGGAGACGCTGAAAGGTCCTGATTGGCCAAAATGGCACTTGGCCCCACCCCGTGCCGAGTTTAGCCAATCCAATGCTTTTCCTATGGGAAAGCATTGGATTGGGTAAAAATCGGCCATTTCGACGATGTCACAAAGGGGGCGGAGCCAGCGCCGGCAGACCCACATGGCGCTGGAAATAAGGTGAGTTTTAAATTAAACTTTTATAGGGGGGCTAAGGGTGGCAAGCCACAAAAATGGTGGGTTTAGCACTATAGGGTCAGGAATACATGTTTGTGTTCCTGACCCTATAGTGATCCTTTAAGTGTGCAGGCAGCATTATGTACATTTTTCATGACACCAGGCCAGGATGCCACCTTAAAGCAATGATGTCACTTTTGAGTTTGTAATAAAGATAGCTCATTATGCCATTTCCAACAGCCATTGCTTTCAATACCTAATAGGAACAGGCAGCATATTCTATGATGCAGAGTTAATAGAATCTCATTGTGTATGTGTTAAAAAAAAAAAAAATGAAATCTACTGAGGATCCCGAAGCCTATAAAGATCTTCCACTGGATCCATATTTTTTACTATCAATCAGTTCTGCATTAAAAGAACACTCCAAGCACCATATTTACTATAGCTCGATGAAAGCTTAGCTCTTTGGATGAGAGTCGTCAGCTCATATTCTTGGCTAATGCGCTAGTCCTGCATTCCACGACTTAACTCAGGATAACTAATGGAAACTTCTGAGCAAGGGTTTCTGGCTCTGGTTGAGCTGTAGAGGCGTTTGGCAGACCCCAGGTAAGAAATCAAACCATGCTAAAATGGTTTGACTACAGGACAATGTGGTGGTGGTGGAGGTGCTTGGAATGGAATGTTCCATTACGTTGGTAAATAAGGTAGATAAGATTTTTTTATTTATTTTTTTAAGAAAAAAAAAACATGCCTTTAGCAGTATGAAAAACGAATTCAGAGTGATTTGTTTGCAAGACACATTCTTTCACATTAGGTGCCAGTGGTGTACCTTTAAGTGTTGTATTGGAATGAAGTAAGTTCACAGAAGTTGCTTTAAGCACATTACCTATTATCTTTGACATAAAGCTGAAGTAAATGTGTTTTTGCATTGTTAGCCAGACAAACCGGCTCATTCACCTCCAACATTTTTACCCCACCCATCCTAACAGCTTCAGGGTGTGGTAGTGGAGATGAGCATTGAAGTGTAAATGTTTGAGATGGCAGATATACGTGATGGAGCAATGTAAAGACCAGTCTGTAGGTGCAAAAAAACCATTATTTACTAAGTGTTTAAAGCAGATCAAACAAATGGCACCATGTAATTTCTTCACTCTGTGGGCATTCTTTTTCTTGCTTGTGTTAGATGTATTTAAGAGTGCCAGACCTATGTGAACACATTTCATTTATCTATACAAGAGGTTTTCAAATGAAAAATGCTCCTCTCCAGTATGCAGCATTTATATACTGCATGCTTCTCTTTGATTAATCAACAGGCGTCCTGCTTGCAGCATTTGAATACTGCTTAGTGAAGGGCACCACTTTTGAAAAGTTGACGATCAGTATATAAATGACGTACATGTCAGTGACAACATGGTGTAACTGGCAACCTTTTGGGGTTTATTTGCTATTCAACGAATCGTAATTTGTATTGTATAATTTATGCCAAAATAGTTAATTAGGAAAAGTTCTAATTGTCACATGGTGGTTGGGCCATTGTCACTGGCAGTGACCTAAAGAGTTCCATCCAATCAGAAGTAGTGTGCCTAATAATGTTCTAGCGCTATGCTTTTTGTGGACAGTTGCCTGTTTAACTCAAAAGCAGGACACCAGAGTTGAAAGGCCTGAATAAGTGTCAGTTTTGCAATGTCTGTAAATGGATGAGTGTCTGTGTGTACCTTGCATATGTATTCAACTTCTTTTATGTTTTCACACTGTGGTGTGTTACAACATGGACTTAACCCCTTAAGGACACATGACCTGTGTGACATGTCATGATTCCCTTTTATTCCAGAAGTTTGGTCCTTAAGGGGTTAAAGAGACACACTAGGCACCATAACCACTGCAGCACATACCGGTAATAGGTGGTTTCCTGTCTAACAATGCAGAGGGCACAAAATATTTTTCTGTTGGTGTATTTTTATGTGACACAAAAACCAAACATTTGTCAGTTGCATAAGAATTCATCTCTTTGCCATTAATCCTCTAAACAAGCTCTAACCAATTGCCTTCAATAGATAGGTTCAACGGAGCCCACCTGTGCGCCATTAAAATGTCACAGGCTCTCAAAATAAATATACTGGTTTGAAAGAGATCAAACTTGAACATACAGCATCATGGACACTTCAAACAGTCTGCAACCAAGGTTGGGTTATAAAAATAATTTCTAAAATGTATCCCTAAAGCACTGTTAAATATATTAGAAAGTGGAAAGCCAATGGTACAACCACAATTAAGGAGTCAGAGAAGCACTGGTGACTTTGAAGGAGCAGGAGAGATCTACAGCAGAACTGGAAGAAAAAGTACATTTAAAAACTACAAGGTAGTGCCTAGTTCCACAAAGACGTGAACATATTTGTCCTGGTACATCACCTGTATTTTGATGTCTACAAATCACAGGTTCACTTTTACACACTCTTTGGAATTGTCCACCTCCTAAAGGCACACTCCAAACCCCCAAATAACATTAAAGGAATACAAAACTGTATTCCTAGATTTGTCCCTCTACCCTAAAGGTATTGTTCTCTCCCCCCATACATACATACATACATACATACATACATACATATACACACACTCACACTCTCTCTCTCTCTCTCTCTCAAATAATTGTACTGCTTACCTCTTTATGGTGTGGAGGTCCTTTTTAGATTATTATTATTTTTTGTATTTGGGCAGTGGAGTGTCCCTCTAAATCTTTTTGGTACCATCCTGACACGTATTGGTATTAATCTCCCTCTCGGCCCTTACCTTTCTTTAATCTCTTCCTACTTTGTCTTATGGAGGTTTCCTAGGCTTGACCAGCGGAAGAACAAAGTGTTTTCCATTTCCTGTGGTTAAAGCAATTTTCCCACAATTCTCAACTTTCCTTCGTGTTCTCGCGATGCCTCCTTTCCATATTCCCGTATGTCGGCAAAACTACATAGTTTTGTCCTAATAGAATGAGAGCAGTTCGTCCATTCATGTTAGAACGATATTTGGGACTTTTGTTCGATCCGAAATCTCATTCGAATTAAATTCCGATCCAACTGCAGTTGCATCTTGCAGCCGCTTAGTAGATAGCTCCCTAATTCCCACGGTATTAGGGAGCTATCTACCAAAAGGCTGAAAGACCTAAATTGGTCTTTCATGCAAACACTGCCCTTTTCAATTACAATAAGGGGACACACACCTATTGTCCTCCCCCCCGGCCTCACCCCTGAGCGGCGGGTGGGGACCCTAACTTTAAGGGGAAGGGACCTATTGTCCTCATAAACTGCAGGCATTTTCATGCAAACACTGCCTTTTCAGAGAAACTTGGAGCAGATGGCCACTGGAGGTGCTACCTGGGACAGTGCTGCACACGCAGAGAGTGGAGACGCCAAACTTTCCTCATAGAGATGCCTTGATTCAGTGCATCTCTATGAGGAAGTGCTGATTGGCCAAAACAGTGTTTGGCCCGGCTCCCACCCACCTCCTTGCCAATTTCAGCCAATCCCTATGGGAAAGCATTGGATTGGCTAAAAATCTTAAATTCTGATGATGTCACCAAGAACGTGGATCGGGGGGCGCAGTCAGCACCGGTGGACCTACGCAGTGCTGGAATTAAGGTTTTAACTGCTTTTAAGGGGATTAAGGAGGGGGGGGGGGGCAAGCCACCTAAATGTTAATTTTAACACTATAGGGTCAGGAATACGTTTGTGTGATGTATGTATGTGGGCAATTTTGCCACACACAGTAAGTATAGTTACACCAAGCACTGCTTTTGTCTTTGAATTAGGGTATACATATGGTTTTAAAAGAAAATATTAATGTTAGTATAAAAGATAATAAATAATTTTTCCACTTTATATTTATATATTTATATTTGTAAATCATGACTACTACAATAAGTTGTAGTGGTTATGGTGCATAGAATGCACATCTACATTATCAGTTTTTACTTGATATTAGTCTGAGCCTGTAATTATATGGTTTATTATAAATTGTAGATTATGCTAGCTTTAGTGTACCCATAATCCTAATTTTAATAATGACAGGAGCCAAATATTTAGCTTAAAGGACCACTATAGGCACCCAGACAACTTCAGCTCAATGAAGTGGTCTGGGTGCCAGGTCCCTCTAGTTTTAACCCAGAGAAACTGATATGTTTAGACTGAGGGTTAATCCAGCCTCTAGTGGCTGTCTCACTGACAGCCACTAGAGGCTGCTTCCGCGATTCTCACTGTGAAAATCATTATAGGCAGTTTGCGCGGTTCTGGCTGCGCATGCGCATTCGGCGCTGACGTCGGCAGGAGGAGGAGAGTTCCCCAGCGCCGAGGGAGCCCGGTGCTGGAGATAGGTAAGTGGGTTTTAACCCCTTCAGCCCAGCGAGAGAGGGGCCATAAGGGTGGGGGTCCTAAGGACTACATAGTGCCAGGAAAACAAGTTTATTTTCCAGGCACTATAGTGGTCCTTTAACTCTCTTTACTTAACTCCTACAGCAGCAACCATAACAACCAGTAACCATTATGCTGTAAAGAATAAGCACTATCTTTGATGTGAAAAATTCAAGAAAATTATAGCATCAAACAAACGTAAATGCAAAAACATTGAGACGTCCAGCAGATGAGGAAATCCAGGATATGTGAAGGATTACCAGACCCATGTGATATTCTTCAGAATGTCCCAGGTTGAACTTACACTGAAACAAAGAGAAACTTTGTGAATGGGTCTGAACCAAAACTATTGAAATACAACAATCCTAGAATAATAAGGACTATGAAACTAATCTAATGTATTAGAGTTAGTCTTAACTTTTAGTTAAGTCTTCCTGACAACCACGTGCTTCAGCTGCGTTGACCAAGTAAAATGGATGATTTCCTATAACAAGCATTGAATATGCATGTGGCACTTGGCGTGCATTCGAACCAGGTCCCCAGTGCTTCTTGTTGAAAGACATTGGACTGTACCATGTTGGAAAAAGGTGAGTAAAAATCTTTCTTATTAATCTTTTCACTGCAAACGAGAGGTGGGGCAGGATATTGCTAGGGACTTGGACAATATAGCGACTAGGGCAGGTTAGTATTTCTAAAGCTATTGTGTTCCTGTTATGAGACTGTCCCTGTAGTCTCTGCATTTTAAACACCGACTTTTATGTTAAAATGCTTTCAATCAAACAGCCAGCAGGGGTGCTTCCTATTACTGTACTGCAATCTTTGTAGGACTGTTGTTTAAAGTCTTCATGCTCTGAATTAATATGCCCAACGCTTCCTATAGAGATGCATTAGAATTATACTGATTGGTGCAGTAAGATGAATACCCCGTGTAGCGGATGGCCCTGGGCTATCCTGAGAATTTCATGTATTTTAATGTGTTCGTGTAAAAACAGCAAGTTCTATGTATATAATGTATTGTATTCGTCTGAATGTTAGGTAGTTTCATTCCCTTAGTTTGTTCGAATGAAACTACCGAACAGTCAGACCTCCCCTGTGTGAAGTGTGTCCTCAATTAACCGTTGCAACATTGTTGCGAACGGGTAATTGACAAGTTAAGTAGCCGTCCTTTGTTCTCGGGGGTGGCCGCCATTCGAAAAACGAACACGTGGCGGCGGCCATTTTAAAACTCCCGAACAGCGGTGTTTTGCCGTCGAGTGTCTGGAACTCAAATCGGACACTCGACTAGGCGAACACCGCTGAAACCTCCACAAGCCCGGTCCGTTCGGTTCCTAACTACCGAACGGCCCCTCGTTCGGTAGATAGAAAGAACCGAACGAGGGGATTCAGGCGAATCCTCCCTAGCCTCTGTAGCTAGAGGTTTTCGTGCAGTTTGTTCCCTTACTCCAGGACCGACCGCAGGGCCCATTCACATGGAACCGCATTCGGCTGTTTCACCCAGTGCGGTCGGTCATTTTATTCCCTCCATAAATTTCCCGAACCCCTGGTCTGATCTGGGTGATTTTTGGATATGTTGTTCACCCAGATCAGGGCTACCAGGGGATGTAGGATTTAAATTGGTACCCCTAAGTTTAGGGGTACATCCAGAAACGGGGGGAATTGGTGTCCTGGATAAGGGGATTATGATGCAGGCTCAGGGGAGGAGAGGTGTGGGAGGTTACCAGAGCAGGATTGGCTACTGTACTAATGAATGAAAATCCCTCCCTTGCATGGGAGCAGGCTTTAAAAGGCCACTGTCTGAATAAAGCTTTAGTTATGCTCCTGAAACTGTGTCGTCCAGTTCTTGGGAATTACTGTTGGGATACTGCTGTTACTTTGCCTGCTGGATACTTTAC